TTCCTAAGCTATTTCTAGGACCGTTGTAACCCTTGGTCAAGTCAGTATAAACAGCCTGAAAATGATCTTAAAACCGGATCATTGTGTCTGTTAAAACCTTACAAAAACATCACTAAAATTAAGAGAGTGTTCCGGTACCCCAAGCTCGAATAAACTGTTTACATTCTTGGGGTGATGAGATTGTGCGACAAATCAAGTCGGCCATAATGTCCATAATGTTTGGTCAGTTCCGCCCAAATTCAGCAGTCTAATTGGTTCCGGGTTATATAACCCCCCTGTACCACCCCATCTGTGCGTAAAAACAATTTTTTCACAAGTGTCTTTGCATAGCGATTTACAGTTACCTTTAGAAGATGGCTCACATCTGTAAACCCTTATCGAATCCTTCCTGACCTCGTCCAAGCAAAGATCATGCGGAACAGTGATTTCCACCGGCTTGAGCAAGGTAACGCTGTGAGGTCCACATTCGATAACGGGGGAAATTAGTGTTCCTTCGGGCATATCCGGGATGTCCTGCAACAAAGTGGAGTCATCCTTAGGCACGCGGAAGAAAAAACGCTGCTTGGTGCCCTCTTGAACTGCTCCACTCCTTACAGTGATAACGACATCAGAGTCCGTTGCGAAAAGCTGTCCACCAGAGCTGTCGAACGTGGCCTCCGCTTCCGTTATGTATCCAGGGGACCTTTAGAAAACAGGGTCGATTATCATAGAAAATATGGTGGAAACTGTGATTTGGACGTCCCCTTGTGAGGAGAAAATGGGACTAAATCGACCTCAGTGAAAAGACAACTTAGATAAAGAGAAAAATTTAAAATAATCTGCACTTACACAACTCGTTTTCCCACCCACCTTGTGTCAATTCCATCAGATTGAGAGATATGATGAACATCTGCGACCACAAGATTACTTTGAAAGGGAGGCAAAGTGTGCTGAGCTGGGTTGTTGAGATTCGGTAGAGAATCTCCTGTTTCATCCTCCTGAGTATGCTTTGATTTTGTGGGGCTTTCAGTCTATCAGTTAAATATGCAGTAAAAATCACTCTCTGAAATGGCAACAAAGTGTTCAAGGAAGGTCAATATTGTGGACGAACCCTCCATTACTATACCTGTTCCGTGTAAGCTCCTGTCGCGCTTGATATAGAAGTCCTATTACAACAGTCCGACGATGCCACACAGCGTGGAGGGCGTCTGCAGTTTGGACGAGGACAAGCGAGGCTACACCCTGTAAATAACAAGACATTGCGGCAATTATTTGAATACCTCAATGGCTGCATTTTTGGCGGAATATTGTTGAAAAATTTTCGAGACGAAGTCGAGGGCATTACTCAACAATTTTTTCTAAGCTTGAGGTAAATAACTGTTTAAGTATAATTGCTCAGGTGCTTTTGAATTCTGTTGTAAATTCATTCTGCTTTCCAACAAAAGGTTTAACAATTTGTTTACGATGTTGTTAAGTAAGGGATGACCTTTCCATACTTGAACACATCCTATCTCTGCTGGATATTATACTCTACTGCATATACCTTTCCATACTTGATCACATTCGTACTTCTACTGGACATCATGCTCTACTGGATATACCTTTCCATACTTGAATACATTCGCACTTCTACTGGATATCATGCTCTACTGGATATACCTTTCTATACTTTAACACATTCGTACTTTTACTGGATATCATGTTCAACTGGATATACCTTTCCATACTTGAACACATTCGTA